GTGCCAGGGATTGATCTGGGTCCCACAGATGGCTTTCCCTGACCAGACATTACTATTCTTAAAGTTCTGCATGTCGTTTGAATCTGAGAACAAAATTAAAAGCTGAAGTTGAAAAGCCTTTTAGTGCAATGGCACAGTGTGTATTTAACTATTTGTTGCCCTGCTCTAAGAAGAATTTACACTAGTGTTAAAAGTGGTTAATAGAGGTAAAGTGTGTATGTGTTTCATACAAGTATATGTTTGCCATTTTGGGTAGTTTGAATGCTTCCTGTTGCAGCCTGGGGATAATTCAGCTTACAGTATTTTATTCTCAAAACAAGAATTTTTTTTTTTAACTGCATTAGCCTAGCCTACCAGATTTCAGGAGATGTGTGTCTGCTGTAGACTTTCACATATTTCATTTTCTGCTTATGTGCAGTACATTGTATAATGTTCACAGAATATTCATTTTGTGTTCTCTTACATACATGATATAGTTCATATTAGCTAGAAAAAAATATACATTTCTCATCTTTCACATATTAGTTTCAGCATTTATTTATTTGGGAACCATACCTGGTGATGCATAGGGATCACTCCTGATAGTGCTTGCTGAGACCAAATGAGGTGCCAGGAAATTAACTGGGGTAAAGCATGCAAAACAAGCATCTTAATCCTTGTACTATTGCTCCAGCCTTTACTTTGTCTTCAAATTGATTCATTTTTGGGTCATAAGAATGTAGACAAGGCCTGGCAAAAAGGCTCCATAACTTCTCATGTTCTCGATAGGAAAGGCGGGAAACCTTTTAAATATAGGGCTTGGCTTTTTTTTTTTTTTAATTTCTTTTTGGGTCACACCAGTGATGCACAGGGTTACTCTTGGCTCATGCACTCAGGAATTAACTTCTGGCGGTGCTCGGGGGACCATTTGGGATGCTGGGAATTGAACTTGGGTCCACCACATGCAAGGCAAATGCCCTACCTGCTGTGCTGTCGCTCCGGTCCTACACAAGATCTAATAAAAGGATATATAAGAGCTTTAAAACTAGAGAGCTGTTGAAGGAAAACCTTGGGAGAGGTAAATCTTCATGACTTTGGACATGGCAGGAGATACTTAGATATGATACCTAAATCACAGACAATGGTCACAAAAGTTCAATCGAACTTTATTTAAGTTAAAAACTTTTGCATTAAGGAACATTATCAAAAACAAGAAAAGATAGACTATAGAACGGGAGATACAATTTGAAAATCCTACATTTTGTAAGGGTCCAGTATGTGGAATGTATAGGATTGCAGTTTTACAACAAAAAGATAAAAACCCAATCAAAAAATTGAGTGAAATGTTGAAATAGATAAAAGGTAAAGGTAAAGGTAAAGGTCCTCCCGTTGATCGTCGATTTGCTCGAGCGGGCCCAGTAACGTCTCCATTGGAGACTTTGTTGTTACTGTGTCTGACATATCGAATACTCTCGGTAGCTTGCCGGGCTCTCCGAGAGGGGCGGAGGAATCGAACTCGGGTCGGCCATGTTGGCCGCTTGTAAGGCGAACGCCCTACCCGCTGTGCATAAAATTTGAAAATCCTAGATCTCATAAAGGTTCAATACATAAAATATATCAAGACCAGTTGTATAGCTTAACAGCAAAAAGACCAAAACTTAGTTTAGGAATGGGCAAAAGACAATAATTGTTAGAAATGGTCACTCTGGACAAGAACTGAGTGCTGGTAGTAGGTGAAGATGTATACCTGATGACTTTTCAGCACCCATATGGCAAACCATAATGCTCCAAAGGAAAGAGGGAGAGAGAGAAGAAAAGTTCCTGCTATGAAGGTTGGCTGGGGTGGGGCGGTGGAGGGAGCCGCGCAGGGTGACGGAGGGAAACCGGGAAACCTGGTGGTAGAAAATGTACGCTGGTGAAGGGATGGGGATTAGAACATTGTATAACGGAAATCCAGTTATGAACAACTTTGAGACTGTATCACACAGTAATTCAATAAAAATAAATAAATTATGGGAAAACCTACTGTCCAGAACTTCGTGGGCTCCACTATGGTAATTTGGCATGTTTCAGTTAATTGCCTGCCATGTGCAAATAAAACCTTAAATCATGAAACGTATCTAGCAGCTGTGTAGCATTTCAGCACCCACTTATCTCTGATGATTTTCATTGCCATTTAAAACCTCCCAAAAGGGGCTGGAGTGATAGCACAGTGGGTGGGGCATTGGCCTTGCATGCGGCCGACCCAGGTTCGATTCCCAGCATCCCATATGATCCCCCAGCACTACCAGGAGTAATTCCTGAGTGCAGAGCCAGGAGTGACCCTTGTGGATCGCCGGGTGTGACCCAAAAAGCAAGAAAATAAAAATCTCCCAAAAGCTGTGACTCCTTGCCAGTGAATAAAAATAAAATAAGAATATTTTCAGTGTACCTTATGGTAATGGTATCTTTAAAGATGCCACGCCACTGGCCAAGCAAGTGAAAACAGAGATAGATAAATGGGACTATCTTAAACTAAGAAGCTTCTGCACCTCCAAAGAAACAGTGAACAAAATACAAAGACAGTCTACAGAATGGGAAAGGATATTCGCCGAATACACATCTGACAAGGGGTTGATATCCAGGATATACAAAATACTGGTTAAACTCCACAAGAAGAAAACATCCAACCCCATCCAAAAATGGGGCAATGAAATGAACAGAAACTTTCTCAAAGAAGAAATCCGAATGGCAAAAAAGCACATGAGAAAATGCTCTACATCATTAATCATCAGAGAGATGCAGATCAAAACCACAATGAGATACCATCTCACACCTCAGAGACTGGCCCACATTCAAAAGAACAAAAGCAACCGATGCTGGCGCGGATGTGGCAAGAAAGGGACACTCCTTCACTGTTGGTGGGAATGTCCACTGGTTCAGCCCTTCTGGAAAACAGTATGGACGATTCTCAAAAAATTAGAAATTGAGCTCCCATTTGACCCAGTAATACCACTCCTGGGAATATATCCCAGAGAGGCAAAAATGTATAGTCGAAGTGACATCTGCACTTGTTTGTTCATTGCAGCACTCTTTACAATAGCCAGAAACTGGAAGAAACCTGAATGCCCAAGAACAGATGACTGGTTAAAGAAACTTTGGTACATCTACACAATGGAGTACTATGTAGCTCTTAGAAAAGATGAAGTCATGAAATTTACATACAAGTGGTACAATATGGAAAGTATCATGCTAAGCGAAATGAGTCAGAAAGAGAGGGATAGACATAGAAAGATTGCATTCATCTGGGGGATATAAAGTAACAAAGTATGAGATTAATACCCAAGAATAGCTGAGATCAGCACCAGGAGGATTACTCCATAACTTAGAGGCCAGCCGGGTATCCTAGAGGAAAGGGCAGTTCAGATAGAGAAGGGAGCACCAAATAAAGGATGTTTGGAGGATCCTCCCAGGAGGGGAGATGCATGTCGAAAGTAGACTATGGACTGAACATGTTTGCCACTCAATGCCTCTTTTGCAGACCACAACACCCAAACGGAGAGAGAGAACACAGGGGATTGTCCTGCCACAGAGGCAGGGGGGGATGGGGGGATGGGGGTGGGAGGGATATTATCCATGGTGGTGAAAAACGGGCACTGGTGGAGGGATGGGTATCTGATCATTGTATAATTGAAACCCAAGCACAAAAAAATTGTAAATCTACAACTGTAAAAAAATAAATATAAAAAAAAATTAAAAAAAAATAAAATAAAATAAAATAAGAATAAAAGAGACATAATTTTTTTGATAATCAGAGTTAGGTAAGTCATAGGCTAGACTTTTCCAAATAAAATAATAATGTTCCTATGCTCAAACATGTGGGTTGAAAAAAATGAGCAAAATAGTAAAGTAGTTTTTTTCTAAAGATAAGGTTATTTGCATATGGCTGACCAGCACATAGCAAAAGATTTCAGCATTATTACTCATTCTGAAATGCAAGCTAAATCCATATTAAACTACCATTTCACAGCACCTAGAACATTATAATAATAATAGAATGTAAAAGAACTCATTGGCAGGGATATGGATAAGTTGTACCTTTTACTTTATAGTTTGGTGCTCTCTGGGGTTTGTACATCTTAGGGGGTACTGTTCACACTTGGTTATTACTGCACACTCTGTTGTGGTTCCAGCGATTCCTGGCAGCCCTCTCAGCATCTTGTGTGGATCAGTGCTCGGGGTTGAATTCACAGTTGAATCCGGCACTTAGCCATTGAGAATGCTGAGGCCCTTCTAGCACATTTAGATCAATCAGTGGAGCTTCCATTTCTCTTCCTCCTCTTTTTTTTTTTTTAATTTTGATCATTTTCTTTTTCTTTTTGCTTTTTGGGTCACACCCGGCAATGCACAGGGGTTAGTTACTCCTGGCTCTTCAATTAGGAGTTACTCCTGGCGGTGCTCGGGGGACCATATGGGATGCTGGGAACTTAACCCAGGTCGGCCATGTGCAAGGCCAATGCCCTACCTGCTGTGCTATTGCTCCAGCCCCATAATTTTGATCATTTTCAAACAAGAATGTTAAAGAGCCCTTTAATTTATAATCATTTAGAATTCCCCTCTGAAGTTTCTGAAAGCAAGGTGGATGGAAATCTAGGTGATAGTGCCTTAAAGTTAACTCATGTGGATTATATATTTGAGTAGAATACCACCCTCCAAAATGCTGCAAGACCAAAAAAAAAAAAGCAGGCAGTATTTGTCTGCTAGTGGTTATTAGTGGTTTTCCTCCCCACCAGATATTTTTAAGTTGGTCTCCCCCCGTCTCTCTCTCTCTCTCTCTCTCTCTCTCTCTCTCTCTCTCTCTCTCTCTCTTTCTCTCTCTCTTTCTCTCTCTTTCTGTCTCTGTCTCTCTGTCTCTCTCTCCCCCCCCCCCCCCTTCCTCATTCCCTCTCTCCCTTCTGTTTCACACTTGGCCATCCTGACGTCTTTCAAAAATACTTAGTTGTGGTTGTTAACACTGTATTAAATCTATTTTTCACAATCAGATGAAAAGTCAACGCTGGAACCGAAACCTTCTAAACCAGCTGCTCCTCAAGTCCCTCCCAAGAAACCCACTCCACCCACCAAAGCTAATAATTTAATGAGATCTCCTGCAATAATATACCCAAAGCGACCAGAAAAACCTGTTCCCCCACCACCTCCTGTAGCCAAGTAAGTTTTATAAAATTTTGAATTAGCTCCTTGTTTTCTATTTCTTTAAAGTGCTCTTCTGCCTTTTTAAATCCAAAAGTCATTTTTCAAGTATTTGCTTCCCATATTTTTCCTATAGATTATAATACTCCATTTAATAATATTACTTTACTGTAGGCGAATACACATTGGACTGTGCTGGCTCTGCACTCAGGAATTACTCCTGGCGGTGCTCAGGGGATCATATGGGATGCTGGGAATCGAACCCGGGTCGGCCACGTTCAAGGCAAATGCCCTACCCGCTGTGCTATTGCTCCATCCCCTACATGATTATTCTTAGCATATCACTGTCCTCCCGTTGTTCATTGATTTGCTCGAATGGGTCCAGTAATGTCTCCATTGTGACACTTGTTACTATGTTTGGCATATTGAATACCACACGGGTAGCTTGCCGGGCTCTCAGAGGGATGGAGGAATAGAACCTGGGTCGGCCAGTACAGAAAATTCACTGTTAATGCTAAAACATCTTTAATGTCATTATATCACAATGTTAAAGAATGATCATGTTTAATAAACAGGTATTTTTTTTTGTTTTCCTCTTATTTTTTTTTTCTTCTCATTTTAGGGTTAACGGGGAAGTTTCTGCTGTTCCATCTAAATTTGAAAATGAGCTGGTATCAAAACCAAAAGTAGATTCTGAACAGTTACCACTTAGACCAAAATCAGTAGACCTAGATTCATTTACACTTAGGAGCTCTAAAGAAGCTGGTAAGTTCACATTTAAAAAGGGAGTACTTAAAAAAAAAAATTGCCAGTAGGGGTCAGGGAGATAATGCAACAGGCAGGGTGACTGTCTTGCACACAGGTGTCCTTGGATTGATCCCTGGCATCCCATATGTCACTTGAGCACTGCCAGGAGTGAATCCTGAGTGCAGAGCCAGAAGTAAGCCCTGAGCACTGCTGGGTGCAGGGCATCCCCCTCTCCCCCAACCCCATTGCCAGTGTAATTTTTCAAAATGATTTAACAAGTGGGTCTCTGTGCAATCTTTGTATATACAGCAGTGATGAATTGAAATTTATAGAGCCAAAATAAGAAAAAAAGTAGTTAACATTTATGATTTATGCTCAGAGTACCAGGATAAGCATTAAAAAGTCATTATTTAAATTTTCATGCTATTTTATAGTGAAATGATCTTACTATCTAACTAAGAAGGGTTTGAGTACATTTTTTAAAAAAAAAATTTTTTTTTATTAGTGAAACACCATGAGGTACAGTTGTAGATTTATAAATTTTTGTGCTTGGGTTTCGATTATACGATGATCAAGTACCCATCCCTCCACCAGTGCCCATTTTCTACCACCATGGGTCCCAGTATCCCTCCCACCCCCCACCCCCCACCCCTCCCACCCTGCCTCTGTGTCAGGGCATTCCCTTTTGTTCTCTCTCGGGTTTGATTACATTTTAATTTTAAAAGTTTAAAGGTTGGTAATAGAATTCCAGCACAAAATTCTACCAAGAAGACACTTCTGAATTTTCCCTCACCTCCAACTTAATGTCAGAATATCTTCCCTTCCCAATTCGGGAAGATAGGCTTATTGTCTCCTTTGGGTGTGTCTGCTCCACTCCTGTGCTGGGGGTTGGCCTCATTGCCAGGTGCAAGGCATGCAGCTGTTCTACCACCTACCACTGAGCCACATCCCTAGTTAATTTGTATCGCTACATGTGTTTTTCAAGCTGAGGGCTGACTTTACAACTCATTTATTTTTGTTTCTTGGTCTTAAAACTCCTAAGTTATAAAACAGAGAGCTTTTGAAACAGATGCTTTGATAAGTGTCCCACAGTGGGGGAATCATTACAAATCATTACCTTTGCAGTAGTGGCTAGCACCTGTTCTGGTATTTTTTACATTTTGAAGCATTGGCTCATATTTTTTTTATTTTACCTTTTCAGTAACTCTTAAGAGGCAGATGTTATTTTTTTCTGCTTTTTGCGTTTTTTTTTTTAAATTTTTATCAGTGAAACACCATGGTGTACAGTTGTAGACTTACAAATTTTTGTGCTTGGGTTTCAGTTATACAATGATCGAGTACCCATCCCTCCACCAGTGCCCATTCTCCACCATCACCAGTCCGAGTATCCCTCCCCCCCCCCCCCCCCACACACACACACACACACACACACACACACCTGGCTGTGCTCAGGGCTCACTCTTGGCACAAGGAAATATAACCGTATGTGAGGCAGGCACCTCAACTCCTATACTGTCTCTTTGGCCTCTTTCACCCCTACTTTGCAATCTATGTAAAGCTGCAGACACACACACTATCCAAGAGAACTCTTAGGTTCCCCTATAATGGATAGTGCTCTATAATATTTTTTTATATAAAATTATCTAATATTTTAAAACATATTTTTTATTTTGGTCTCCCAAACAGTACTGAGGTGGCTTTGGGGGTCCCTCCCAGAGATTTTAGCAATTAAGCCTTGTGCAGGAGGGTTAGTGCCGAGGCCCACAAGTGGGGTTCTGCTCAGTGCTGTTTGAGCCCTGCAGGCCCAGGTATCACACCCTCTCGGTAGTGGTCTGGGACTTCTAGGGCTGTCACTGATTCTTTGGGGAGCAAACGGGGTTATTATATTTAAGCTTCAAGACAAGTTACATTTAGAATTTTGTTGTCACTGTTGTAAAATCTGCTTTTTTACTACCTCTCAGAATTTTTAGGTGAATTTATTTTATTTCCCTCTCCTCAGTTTGCTAAAACAATTCTTCAGTCCTAATCATGACATTCATGCTTCGTACAAAGTTTAAAATTTGTATGTTTTTACAGGTGTTCAAATATTCAAATAATGTCTTATCTCGTAAAAGTATGTTATTTACTATCAAAACAAAGTCCTTATCTTATTTAATCCTCCCCAAGTAGGGCCTCCCACTAATGGTGCTGGGGGCCTCCAGGGGGTCATCTGGGAGTTGCCCAGGGCCACAGGTCAGACCTGGGCATGTGCTGCTGGGGGTTGGACTCCTTGGGGCCTCACGCACATGCCAGTCCTCTGTGCCATTCCTGGCTCTGTGGCTTGTGTTGGGAATCAAATCCGATCTCATACAGGAAGCAGACACTTTATCACTAAGCTACATTTCTAGACCTGCATGCTCCCCCCCCTTTAAATCTTTTATTTATTTTTTTTAATTGAGGTTAGTGATAGATCAAATCTGTTTACTCTGTTAATTTTAAAATAAATGTGTTTTCAGTAAGTAGAAAATAAAAATATTTATGCAGTCTCTTTAATACTGGAAACCTAAAATCCATGTGTATGTGTGTGTGTGTGTGTGTGTGTGTGTGTGTTTTAATTTCTCTAGTTTCTATAATAATTTTTATTATACATGTTTAAAGCTTGATAGATACCTTTCGGAGCCAAAGGAGTGAATTTAAGCAAATTTTCACTTTTCAAGTCTTTCTCAGTAAAAGCAGCTTTGTTTCAGTTGTATGCTTCCAGAACAAATAATACAAGTAACATCAGATTATTGGTAGTGGGTATTTTTGTACTGTGTTTTGGTTTCAATTTTTATCTTAAGTTCATAGCCATTTATATACTTTTCACTAGGAAAACAAAAACCCTATTGTGAAGTGGAGTTTGAAAATTCCTAATTTCTGGCGAGTTTCTTCAGATGAATAAGGGTGTGATTTAGAGAGGTTGAGACTTAAGCAAGGTCATTTTTGGCTAACTTCCAAACTGTCTTTCTTTGTTTATTCTTTCTACTTTAGCTGCCTTTAGAGAATTACCCTTACACTGTACTTCACTCTGGAGTTCATGTTCTGATCAGTTGTTCTTCTCAATACTGTTTAGAAGCAAGAAGTATGCTAAGATAAGGTGTAACTGCTTACAGAAAGTTAATGTCTCAACTTAGGCTTTATAGTAACTTGTTTTTATTACAGTAGTGTATGCTCTTAGTTTTTGAGCTATAAAGTGATTTTGGTTTGTCTTGGATGCTGTCTTGAGTCACAGTGGAACTCAGTAGTTACTCTTGGCTCTGAGCTCAGGGATCACTTCCGGTGGGGCCCGGGGAATCGTAAGCAGTGCTGGGGATCAGACCAGGTTGATCGCAAGGTAGGCAGTCTGACCCCATAAAATTATTTTCTTTAACGTCTCTGAGATGCTGCCCCCTTTAAAAAATTCATGAGTTCTAATGCCATCTCAAGTTTGATTGAAGTATGAGGCATAAAGTCTATTTTTTATCCCAGTTTGAGATTTTAAAATGATTTTAATGGCATATGAGTTCCATAATATTTTTAAAAAGGAAAATTTAATAATTTATTATGTAAAATAATTGAAAGTGAAAGCGTAATGGCATACGCTTTTAGAATGTGTATTTAAAAATTATTAGCTGACTGACATTTTTTTTGACTTTTTCTTAAAAGTGGAATGCAGGGGTTCAGGCGTGGAGCTGCAGTGGTCACTGTACTCCACACACTGTACTTCACACAGAGCCTTCCACACTGCTGACCTGGATTAGATCCCCAGCATCCCATATGGCCTGCCAGGAGTAATTCCTGAATGGATCCGCAAAGAGTAACCCCTGAGCTTTAACGGGGTGTAGCCCCCAAACTCAAACCACCCCTCACCCCGCCCCCCCCATTAATGGAATGGTCCATTGTATTTTTACCTATTTAAATACCTTACATGAAAATTGTTATTTTCTTTTTATCCTCTCCTTTAGATAATCTTAATTTATTCTTTTATTTCTCTCCTATAAAAGATGTAAATATCTAACTTTACTCTTTGGTAGGATTTTCTTACTTAGAAATACATACACACACACACACACATATATAAAAATAAAGTATACTATAGTTCTTTTATCTGTAAGAAAAATATTTGTAAAATGCTTAAGTTTTTAAAAAAAATCTCCATAAACATTCTTATATAACCTAATAAAATATACAAGATATTAAACTATATTTTTCTCTTTACAAACTCAGAAATTGAATTAATATTTTGATACCACTATTGGTAATTAACAGTAAATTTTTTAAGAAATGAAATTGTTTTATAGTTTTAAAATATAATAAATATCACTTAATTTTATCAATACGTTCTTGGAAACTGCCACTTCCTTTTTTTTTTTTCCTTTTTTAAAAAATTCTATTCAGTTAGTTTTTTTGGGACCATACCTAGCAGTGCTCAGCGCTAGCTCCTGGCGCTGCACAGGAATCTCTCCCATTAGGCCCCAGGGACCCTAAGAGTGTCAGGGATCAAATTTGGCTCAGCTGTGTGCAAGGTAACTGCCAGAACTATTGTACTGTCACTCCAGCCCCGAAAACTGCTTCTTAGTGAAATGATGTAGCACCAACCCAGTGTGATGACGCTCTAATTGGTATAAACCAAAGTGAAATTCCTGTGGGATATTTCTGGAGCCAGACTTGTAGATAAAAAACAAAGCGGCGTCTTGTAGCCCATGTCGGTGTACATGCCGTGTACACCGAGCTTGGCATGCCTGCACATACATTCCTACACACATAGAATAAATACAACCACTACTTTCTACTCCCTAACTTGTACATCTTGGTGAAAAAACACAAGCATGGGTGGGTGAATGTGGCAATTCCACATAGATGTATATTGGGAACCTTTTTTTTTTTTTTGGTTTCATTGAGGTTAATGTAGTACTAACACTCTCTTAGAACCTGAGAAAACACAGGGTGAAATATTTTTAAAGTATAGTATTTTATCCTTTTTACTGTAGTATTTTTCCCTGAGAAATTCTAGGGTTTAAAAGAAAATTTTACAGATGCATTATTAATCTAAATGCCTGCATTGTTAATATTTTAATTCTATTTAGTAATAAGTTTTTGTTAGAATTGCTATTGCTATTCTACTATTTCTTTCGGAATTCATGATGAAAATTTTCTAATGAGGTTCTGACCTATTAAGTGGAAGACATAAAGACTGAGCTAATAGTTTAAACTTTGACTATACCCGAAATGTTGGACTACTTGGAAAATAGATACAGAAATTAAAATTTTTATCTTCCAATAATTTCTTTGAAACTGGAATTATAGACAGTATGAAGTTTTCAATCATATTGGATTGCAGTTTTATAACGAGATATTTAAAAAATAATAGTCATATATTTTATAATAGAATTAAACTTATGTTATTGTCATTATTGTTACATGTTGAAGCCAGAAATTTCATCCATAAGAGTTTAATTTTAAGTGTACTGTTGATAAGTTTATTACTCTGGTTCCCAAGTAAATTTTAACACCAAAACATCAATATCATGTTTGATATTCATGAGTAGTGACTAAGGTTTTATCTTAATTTATGTTAGTATCACTGCTTATCATAGCTTTCTTGAAAGACAGAGGAATCTAAAATTTGATGCACATCTTTGTAAGCTTAGGTACACTTCAATAGGTATATGCTAAATATATTGAAATGGTAATTATTCACTCTATAACTGTTCCTTTTTCCTGCTTTGTAAAATAATTTTTTGTTTTAGTCTTTTTCCTCGACATTCCTATCCTTGACTTTTCTTTCCAGATTTTGTTTCCTAGCCTGTTTGCCATGTTTCCCTTCTTACGTGTCAGGAATTTATCCTACCCTTCTCCATTTTGGTAAGATAACAATTTATTAAAAAAAAATCAAAATAGCATATTCAGTATGAATAGGTGGTGCACATTGATTTTTCTTCGTAACGTTACTAAAAGTCTACATGTTGTCTGTCTATTCTAACCTTTTTGGTTTTCCATTTTAAAATAAAATGAAAATCTTGTGAAAATTGATTAAAGATTTTCTTTTGATCAAGAGTATTTTTTAATTGACAGTCTTAAATGTCACCTTTTCCCCCAATTTTTTTTTCTGTTTTTAAAACTCCATATACTATGTTGAAATGTAAATGGCAAAGTGGCATTTTGCTTGCAAGTGTTAAGTGATTTATCATGCCCCTTATGTCATTTTATAGTATAAATCCATTGTTATTCCAGAAGTGTTCAAACATACCATGAGACCAAAATGTGCACTATTTCATTTTACTAACTTGATGACTTAAATGGAGAACCCGAGAGAGTTTGAAAATAATAAAATTATTTACCTTGTGTTGTAATCCAAAACTAGACATACAGAAGGCACTTTTATAAGAGCATGCCTCATCATTTTATAAAATTACACCTTGCTTTCAGTTTATTTTGATCTCTTGCTGTGTTTTTGTGTTTGTTTCCTTTTCATTTTGCAAGTTGCTTAAATATGCATTTGAAAATAATCTTTCTAGGCCAATATGACTGAATTGTACTAATTAAATTTTTGTGGGGGAGAGAAATGAGTTGTTAGCACATACTCCGAGCAGTTTTTGACCAGTCAGTTTACAGCATATATTTCAGCATCCGTGTTTTGTTTATGTTTACACCCAAAATGAGATTTGTGTGTTTAAAATCAAGGTTTTTCATGTTACAGAATGAACATTGGAACCATCGTATTATTATGGTTTGTTATATTTTATAGAGACAGTTACCAGGTGACTTAAGACAGGAGTGAAACAAAGCTCATTACATTAATAATTGTAATGTGTTAGTTTCTTTTTACTTGATCCTAATGAAAACATAGAAAGTAGTGCTAGAATGTGAAGATAGGAGGGAATGAACAGAGGTCAATGAACACTTTGTTCTTACATATCCACTGTAGGAAACAGTGATACTTCTTTCTCTGTCTTAATTTGTGTTTGTCATCTCTAAAAAATTTATTTTTCTTAAATTATTTTGTGTGCTGGAGCGATAGCACAGTGGGTAGGGCATTTGTCTTGCACGTGGTGACCTGGGACGACCCGGGTTTGATTCCTCCGCCCCTCTTGGAGAGCCTGGCAAGCTGCTGAGAGTATCCCGCTCACATGACAAGCTCCCGGCGTTGTATTCATGTGCCAAACACAGTAACAAGTCTCACAATGGAGACGTTACTGGTGCCTGCCCAAGCAAATCGATGAACACCTGGACTATAGTGCTACAGTGCTAAATTATTTTGTATACAAAAATTGATTGATACTTTTTTTAGGGCCATTATTTTTTTATAAGAAATAGCATCACTTAAGTTGTAGTTTCTAAATAGTTGGCAGAAGGCATCATAAACATCCAGGCAAATGATAATAATGTGAAATATGGCTCTATTCCTAGAAGGGTATTTGCTGCCATTTAGGATCTTGACTATGTGATGAATATCCCTAGTTTGACGGCTGGGATTAATGGAAGATTATATTAAGTCTCTGCAGTCACTCTTAGGTTTCTTGTATCAGGTATAAATACCTGATGTTCAAGTGTCAAGATCAGTTTCTTCAGTAAGGTTTTCTCGATCACTTATAAAAAGTAAAAGTATATACTATTGTTTCAGAGATAGAGATTGCCTATATTTATTCTTAGACACAAGTTGTTGGTTAAAGGTTGGCCAGGTTTTGATGTTGGAAGACAAGTGTATGATCAAAACAGCATCTTCTTTTGGTGTTGAATTTGTTCTATAATTCCTAAACATGGTAATATTTAAGCAGATGTACAATTAACTACAAATGTTTTAAGTTCCAGCTATAATGACTATACACATTCATATATAAAGACATACATATTTCATCATAATTTAATTCATTGTGGAAAGCAGCAGGGTCCCAATAGTTGAATCTTTAACATTTTGATATTCTAATACCACTTTGAAGTTTAAAACAAATTTTATGTGTCAGTTTTCTCATTGTAATTAAGAATTTAAATAGCCTATGTAGTACAAGATTTTAAGGTGATGGTTATTTTATGCTCGGTAAGTTATGGATATATTTATATCTTTTAATAAGAACTGTTTGTTGAGATCTAAGTCTCACAAACATTAACTATAGTGTTAATGAGGTCTTAGGCTACGAGATGTATCACATTAAGGGTTTCTTTTGAAAGGTTGAGTGTTTTCCAAATGCATATGAGAAGCACAGGTTAATTTGTGAGTCCTAGTGGTGTTTTAAATTTACAGTTTGTTCAAAAGTTGGAAGCATCCTTTTTAAAATATTTTTTAAATTTGCAGTTATCTCTGATTGATTTAATTTTATTCTGTAGATCTTGTAAATTTTGATGACATAGCTTCTTCAGAAAACTTGCAACATCTCACTGCAAACAGACCGAAGATGCCGGGAAGAAGATTGCCCGGGCGCTTTAATGGTGGACATTCTGTGAGTACAGGAACATTCACACACCCAAGCCTTGTTAGAATGTGGAGGACCTATAGTTCCACTATTAAGGTTGAATCAGGGAGATGGCTGTCATACTCAGGCAAATGGCTAAATTTAAGGAAATACAGGGAAAGAGTTGTGTTCATGTCAACTGAGCTTAGAATGGAAGGTTATAGAATCAGAAATAAAATGTTGTCCTGAGCCTACAGTCAGAGCACAGTGGTCAAAAGGGACAGGGAACCTATATAATCTACCCATCCAACAACAAGTTAGACATTGTATATTTTTGTGAGATATGTGCATATAATAATATACCTATTCTTCACATGTACGTATGGGAAAATATGCGTACGTACACGCACACACACGCGCGGAGAGAACAGATAAGTCATAACGAAGAATGAGAATATCCCTCATCTCCTATACTAAGTTTTGTTATATGTAATCCTGGTGTCTAAATGTGTGATCTCTTTTTATGTGAATGTTTTTAGGATATTGGTATTGCGTTAGTATTAGTCTAGTATTTAAGCATTGTGGTACTTTAAAAGTTACCTAAGTAGAGAAAAATTTTGTTGCCAAAGCAGAAACTAAAAAAAAACAGGTCTGTGTCAACCTGGTCATGAACAGCTTTGTTACTGTGTATCTCACGGTGACTCAATTAAAAATAAATAAAATTTAAAAATGTAAATTTAAACAAAAAACAGGTGTGCTATGCTATTCAGCTTGAAATGATACAATGTCTGTTAATAATGACACAAAATATTCTGGAACAGTAACTGCTGAAAATAGTGAAAAGCTAATTACCCAAAAACTCAATACCTTTTCTTTCTTTGTTCTTTTCTGTATCTTGATATTAAAAAAAAAAAAAATTAAAGCCAACTCAAAGCCCAGAAAAAATCCTGAAATTACCAAAAGAAGATAGTGCCAATCTAAAACCATTGGAAATGAAAAAGGATTCAAGCTACTCTCCAAAGGTGAGGCAGATGTTTTTGTCTAAGATTTATATAATTTAAAGGATTATTTCTTCTGCAAAGAAAAGAAGATTTGCCAATAGTTTGAATTGTTAAATTTGTCCTACTATTCTTCCACAGTTTTCTAAAGCTTTCTTATTAAAAATAATTCTTTGTGATTATTTTATGAATGGGCTAGAGCGATAGCACAGCGGTAGGGCATTTGCCTTGCACGCAGCTAGCCCGGCCGAACCGGGTTCGATTCCTCCGCCCCTCTTGGAGAGCCCAGCAAGCTACCGAGAGTATTTTGCCTGCCTGGCAAAGGCGCAAAGCCTGACAAGCTCCCCATGACGTATTTGATATGCCAGCAGTAACAAGTCTCAAAATGGAGATGTTACTGGGCCTGCTCGAGCAAATTGATGAACAACGGGAGGAACGTTTGTTTGTTTTATTTTGAGTAACATACATGTTTATAGTTAACTATAATTTGATATTTTCCAGAGGGGTGGTAGGAGCTGTAGATTACATCTGTCACTGTTCAAAGCTTATTTCTGGCTTTGTGCTTAGGGGACTATATGTGGTGCAGGGTCAGGTAAACTCAGGCCAGTCACATGCAAGCTGTACTGTCTGCCTGGCTCTAATAGTTTTATATTTTAAGGCATAATTATTTACAATATTTTTAATTTTTCGTTAATTATACACTATATTTTGTTTTGTGGCCATCCCTAACTGTGCTTAGAAGCTACTCTTGGTCTTGTTCAGACCTTTGGATGACAGGCATTGCCCAGGAGACCTTTCAGGGCCAGTTCTCCAGCATGCTAAGTGTTCACTCATAAGTGCTCACTCAGCCTGTTGAGCTGTCTCTCTGGATTTTTGAAAAATTCAACTCCCTTTCTTGTTGTTACTGTGTGACTGGGGATCATGCACGGTTCTGGCTAATGCTTTCACCATCTCTTCCTCCCCCCTCCCCCCCCCCCACACACACACTTTATTTAAACACCATGGTCTACAAAGTTGTTCATGATGATTTGTTATAGGCATATTCAGTGTTCCAACACCAACCTCATCACCACTGTCACCTTCCCTCCACTATTGTCCCCATTTTCCCATCCACCCCTCAAGCCTGCCCCATAAGTATAATTTACTTTATATTGCTTGTTACCAATTTGTGAAAATCGTTGTTTCTCACCATGGGGACATTATGTCCTTAATTGAGTCTTTCATGTAAATATTTTTGTTAATTCAGCTTCAGTTGGCTTCTACATTACATTCCCATCCAATCCGGTTTGCTCCTACTGGGATCTTAGTATTGTGGAGTTTAGAGAAAATCTTACATGGCAGTGGTGGTGGAACATGGGTATGGCCTACTCAACTTCTGGAAGTACAGGGGCTGAGGGGGTCCCCAATTCTGAGAAGGCCAAGAGTTTTCAACCAGAGTTGCAGATTTATTTTTAGTTATAGCCATATCCTTAAGGAATGGTATGGGAATTTTGAAATTGCAGTCAATCTATATGGTACTTTGAATAGGATGGGTATTGTACTAGGTTAATTCTTCAGATCTTAAGTGCAAAGTTAGTGAGTCTCATTCATGATATACGACTCCATTACTACTTTTGTCCTTTCCCAAAATTTAATTTTTTTTTTACAAGACACTATTTGATTACTAGCTTGATGGTTGGCACCATATTACCTAAATATGAGAAAAAAATGGCAAAAGACATGAATTCCTCCTTCCAATACATGGTGCTATTTTTTCTTAAACTCGTAACATTTAGACTTAAGATAGAGTTACCACAACTGACCTCTATTCCTTCTCAGTTTTGTTTTCAGCATTTGGGGGCTGTTCCAGTGTATAAGATTCTTGTTCTGCTTCTCTCAAGATGAATTGCATTTGCTTTTATTTCAGTTATGTAAAATGGTAGCAAGCTGTGAACTCTTCTTTTTTTTTTTTTTTTCCTGCTTTTTGGGTCACACCCAGCAATGCTCAGGGGTTACTCCTGGCTCTGCACTCCGGAATTACTCCTGGCGGTGCTCGGGACCATATGGGATGCTGGGAATCGAACCCAGGTTGTCGCGTGCAAACGCCCTACCTGCTGTGCTATTGCTCCAGCCCCAGTCGTGAATTCTTTTTAGTGCCTCATTCATAGACTTTCTCATTGCATTAGTTTTAAGAAAAAAATCTTGGTTTTCAGTCGTTCCACAGACGGCTACTGGTCTGCAGGTGTGAAAACGACTACAAACCACTGTTATAAATAATGGCTATATAATATGAGGAACAGAATAACAATCAGTAATTCTGGCATAGCCTTGCTTTTTGCTAAGCAAACTATTCTTAAGACAAATCTACTGAAGTTTTCCTTTTGAGGGGAGATGTTCTGGGCTTACTCCTGGCTCTGTGCACAGGAATCACTCCTTGCCGGGCTAAGGGGATCAGTGCCAGTGCTGGGGATTGAACATGGTTCAGTAGCGTGTATGAGAAAGTGCCTTCCCCACTGTATCTCACCGCACTACCTGTTCCTTGTCTTTACTAATAAAGCTCCTGACATTTCTCACAAAAACTTGTGATTGCAAGTTTATTTATTTGTTTTTAGTTCTGGTTGTGAAGTTCACACTGTTCTTTAAATTTTTTTTTGCTTTTCTGGGCCACACCCAGGCATTGTCAAGGTTTAATATTCACTCTGCATGTGGAGATCACTTTTTCAGGGCTTGGAAGACCATTATGGGATGCCAGGGGTTGGGCCAAGGTTGACTGCATGCAAGCCAAACACCCTTCCCCTGTGCACTCTTGCTCTGACCTGTTTTTTTTTTCCTCCTTGACTCTTAGTGTGCTGTTTGAATGTACTGAAAAATAATTTTGTCTTCTTTAGGAATCTTTTGAATTTAAATAATATTTAATATTAATATAAAATATCCATGTAAATTCAGAAACGTTTTAATGTTTTTCAGCCATCTGCATACCCATCAGCATCTTCAGTTACTTCTAAAACAAATATGACTGCAACTATAAATCCATTAGAAACCAAAGTTAAAGGAGAAACAGATGACAAGAATCTCATACATTGGAACAGTCCTCAAATGGAGGAACTTAGAGCTCAGGTTATTGACTTACTGTGTATTGTAGAAGCACTGAAAAAGGACCATGGGTAAGTAGCCTTTACTTTATTCGTTGAGTACTATTTAATAGATGAAAATTTCTTTCAAATTATGGCAAGTAAAGATGTGTTCTGCAAGTTACTGGTATGAGCAAGTGTGTTTTTGCCTTAAAAACACATCTAGTTAGAAAACGAGATGGGGGTAGAGCCAGCCCTTTTCTCCCTGTCCCAACAAGACCCCCGAGTCGCTGCCCACAAACGGCCTCTCTGGCTCCTGATCAAGCTGCTTAATGGCCATGATCCCAGAGACTCAGGAACAAATCTCGAAACCCAGCAGGTTTTGGCAAGAAATCCCTTCAGATTTAATTGTTAAAATTTCAAAATTGCGTGGCCACTACTGCAGCCACACGACATCATATGTTATTCATAACCATCACTTAATCACTTAACTTCCCGTTAGTCGTCGATTTGCTCGAGTGGGCGCCAGTAACGTCTCCGTTTGTCCCTGTCGCATGCTAGTGTAGCCCAATGGCATCTGTTCGCTCTGGGAACATGAAGAGCCTCAAACCGATTGTTCATGGTCTTGATGAAGAAGTCTGACCATCTGGTAGGTGGGCGGCCACACGGTCTTTTGACATCCCGTGGGATCCAGTCGGTAACAGCTCTAGTCCAGCGGTCGTCTTTAAATCTCATTACGTGACCAGCCCATCTGATTTTTGACACTTTGGCAAACGAGACAGCGTCCCTGATACTTGATCCAGATTCTTTCTCTCATTTGAGTGAAACGTGATATTCCAAACATAGCTCTTTCAATTCCTCTTTGGGAGACCCAAATAGCATTCTCATCCTGTTTACGTAGGGCCCAGGTCTCTGAGGCATATGTTAATGCAGGAAGAACAGTGGAATCAAAGAGATGTGCCCGGAGCTGGAGGTTCTTCATCCTCTTAGCTATTTCTTCGACGTTCTTGAAGGCGTTCCAAGCCGCTCTCTTCCTCCTGCGCAGCTTGGGTGCCAGGTCATTTGTCATGTTGACTTCTCAACCTAGGTACACATAGCTGTTGCATTCGGAGATGGTCGTTCCGTTGAGAGCGAATGGGGCATCAGGAACGAGGCTCTCAGAAACATTGTCTTCGTAAGATTTAGCTGTAGTCCTACCTTTCCACACTCAAGGTCAAAATCGGCCAGCATTTGTGCCGCTTGGCTGATGTTTGGTGTTATTAAAACAATGTCATCAGCAAAGCGGAGGTGGTGTAGTTGCCGACCATCTATCTTCACTCCCATTCGTTCCCATTCCAGTCATCGCATGATGTTCTCGAGGGTGGCACTGAAGAGTTTCAGTGAAATGGTATCACCTTGCTGAACCCCTCTCTTGACATCAACGATTACTTCTTTGTAGAATGGTGAGATCCTGGTAGTGAATCCGCAATACAGCTCACGGAGGATCTTGATGTATTGAGCTTGAATGCCCTGATTGGCTAGGGCTTCAATGACGCTTCCGTCTCAACAGAATCAAAAGCCTTCTTTAAATCAATGAACGTTAAACAGAGCGGCATCTTGAACTCCCGAGAAACCTCAATGAGTTTGGTTATCATGTGGATATGGTCGATGGTACTGAATCCTTTGCGGAACCCGGCTTGCTCGCATGGTTGTCCTTCATCTAGTGTTCTGCCAATCCTATTTTGGATGACTCAAGTGGACAACTTGTAGATGACAGACAATAGGCAGGTCGGATTCATAACCATCAATAGAAAACAAATTGGCTACTGTTGCCTTTTCGGCAGATCTGAGTGTTGGGGTAAAATCCTAAATAATAATGGTAGGTATGGTGTTGAAATGTTGAATGAAATCTAAGTATAGAGAGAGTAATTTGGAAATCAACTGCCCCACAGGTACGAGGAGGGTGTGAGATGGGGGTATACTGGGGTTTTAGGTGGTGGAGAATGGGCACTGGTGAAGGTACGGTTGTTTCATTGTATGACCTAGACTTAGACTCAAAAGCTTTGTAACTGCTCTCACGGTGATTCAATAAATAAAATGATAAAGAACGGGAAAAAAAAAAAGTAAGGTGGAGTTCATGCACAATTCACCACCTAAGCAGTGGCTGAATAAAGAGCAGTACTCCTACATTAAAAAAAAAATAGAAAAGAAAACTTGCTCGAGCGGGCCCAGTAACATCTCCATTGGAGACTTTGTTGTTACTGTGTCTGGCATATCGAATATGTCACAGGTAGCTTGCCGGGCTCTCGCACAGCGGGTAGGGCATTTGCCTTGCACGCGGCCAACATGGCCGACCCGAGTTCGATTCCTCTGCCCCTCTCGGAGAGCCCGGTAAGCTACCGAGAGTATCTCGCCCGCACGGCAGAGCCTGGCAAGCTCCCCGTGATGTATTCGATATGCCAGACACAGTAACAACAAAAGTCTCCAATGGAGACGTTACTGGGCCCGCTCGAGCAAATCGATGATCAACAGGAGGGCCTTTACCTTTACCTTTTAGTGAAACACCATGAAAGTACAGTTGCAGATTTACAAGATTAGTACCAGGAGTTTTGCACCATGACTTGGAGGCCAGCCACACACTCTAGGGGAAAAGGAATCTCAGATAGAGAAGGGAGCACCAAATAAAGGCTGTTGGGGAGGATCCTCCCCTGATGGGAGTTGCATGCTGAAAGTAGACTATAGACCAAACATGATTGCCACTCAGTGCCTCTTTTGCAAAGCACAACACCCAAAAGGAGAGAGAGAACAAAAGGGAATGCCCCGCCACAGAGGAAGGGTAGGCTGGGGGGGTGGGGGGGGTGGGAGGGATACTGGAAGCCGTGGTGGTGGAAAATGGGCACTGGTGGAGGGATGGGTATTTAATCATTGTACAGTTGAAACCCAAACACAAAAATTTGTAAACCCCATTGTATTTTAGAATTGAGGTGTTTACTTCTTGGAATACTTTGACTCCCTTTTCGACTAGGGTTTACAGAAGAAAGGATAGTGTTAGTAACCCCGAGTTCCACCTCTTGACTGAATTTCAGGGAGAGAACTCAAAGTTCTGGGATGCATGTGTCATTTGCAGAGGCTTGAAGTCCAGTTCTGGCACTGCCTAAGTACTGCCATGTATAGCCGTATTGGGCCACCAAAACTGCCAGGCCTGCATACTGGACAGGTATTACCCAGAGTGGCCACAGGGCCCCTTAGCACTGCTGGGAACCTGGAAAACCTGCACTTATCCGTTGTTGCACACACTTTTCTTTTAAATGACTCGGTCCATTTCGTACTGCTGTCGTGGGATGCAAGGAATCGTAGGCCAAGTAAGTTGGGAAACCTTGATCTCAGTGAAGCAATGACAGATTCACAGGTAAAATTATGTGTTCGAGATTATATTCCTTGGGGCTGGAGAGATGGTCCAGTGGGTAGGGCATTTTTCATGTAAGCAGCTGATCTGGGTTCTGTCCCCAACATCCCATATGGTTCTTCGAGGAGTGATCCTTGAGTGCAGAGCCAGGAGTAGGCCCTTAGCATTGCCAGGTGTGCTAGGTCCACCCCTACCTTCCAAAAAGATCACACTTCTTAAAGGGCAGAGTTAAGCTCAAATCCAAACCTGCTCTTGTTTTAGAGATCTTTTCTGTCTCTTTCATGTTTGAACTTTAAAACTTGTAAAATTATAAGCATAATTCTGCAAATGCCCTAAAGATAAAACAAATATAAGATCAGCTAATTTTACTAACCTGATGGTTTGGGGTCAGGTGCTTTTTCGCCTTTATCACTTTTCCAAGTTGGAAGTTTCTGAAAGGACTTTTGAGGGTTTTTTTTTAAGCCTGTAAGAGGATTTAATGAAATATGGGGTCTGGTATAACCACTTCCTGTGACCTTGTTACCTCTGAGTTTTATGCTGTCTGCCAATTTTCAGTTGATGTCAGATTCTGTGAGATAAACAATCCGAGGTAATTGTGGCTTTCAGAATATCATGACAAGCTTTTCTCTCAGATGGAAAAACATAACACACACACATAAACTAATGTGTGTGTGTAATCTGAGTAATTTGATGGTTTTTTTGTCTTTCTGGAAGCCCTTAATTTTGTTTTGACTCTGGCAGGTTTGTTTTAAGTAATCTCCAGTATATACATTATAAACTAAATGTGTTTATCAGTTAAACATTGAGAACCATCCTCATAAATCTTTCACATTTTATTAGTAATTTTGTACTTTTATTGAACTAATGTTACGTATACCAGTTGCCTTTGGGGGCTCTCAAATTAGCTATAAGGTGAATTAAATATTCATAACACATGCTCATATATATATTTTTGTAAATGTAATTTTTTATTAGATTATTTAACTTTTAAATAGAACATAAATGTTCTAGGAATAGATCTTAATTTAGAGATTAAGTATATACTACACTTAGGATAATATAAATTAAAAAGCATACTAAATTTAGAATAATAAGTAAAAAATATAAGCATTGATTTAGTATAATGCTTGTATTTTTTATAATCATAGAGCCCAGCAAGCTACCGAGAGTATCCAGCCCGCACGGCAGAGCCTGGCAAGCTCCCCGTGGCGTATTGGGTATGCCAAATACAGTAACAACAAGTTTCACACTGGAGACGTTACTGGTGCCCACTTAGCAAATCGATGAACGACGGAGGACAGTGCTACAGTGCTATACTAAAACAAAAAATATAACAGTAATAGGAATGTGGTTTTAGCTTTGAATCACATTTTTAAATTCCATCTGAATGTATGCTGTAGGTAAATTTAATTTGAAAATTACGGTCACTAGAAAATTACACTTGTGATATTAAGAAATTGTTACTATTGAAACCACAGAAGAAATTAGTTTTGAAACAGTTTAAAATTTCCTTACATATTTCTTCTCTGAGTTTTCAGTTGTCTATCATTATTTATATGATGCTGTTGAAAATATTTTTTTCTAGTTTATGTCAAGAAGCTGGAAATGCAGATTTTTTTATTCTGAGGAATTTGATATACTCACCCTGTTTGTGGCGTTAGGTAAAATCCCTTTTTCTTCCACCCTCCCCACAGCTTTTTCCCTGAAACCAGTTAACCAAGCAAAAAAATCTATTGGAATATCAAACAGGTTTCAGACGTAGTAAAAGTTTTGCAGCATAGATATGTCTTAAAATACTTTCCTAGAAAGTTCTGAATCACCATGTATGGTTGTGGAGGAAAATATGTCTGTAAAAAGAAGGGAGTAGATAAATGAAAAATAAGAATTGAAGAATTGTTAGCTAACTTTTTTTTATTGACTTGGTTGTAGAGTTTTAATACTTTTTTAAAAAATCTGTGCAGGGTTCAGGTTATGTGATTAAGCATGCTGCATTAACTTCCTTTGAACCGTAACTATTTGTTGTTTTGTTTTGGAGTCACAAGTTACAGTTCTGGAGGGTGTTCCTGGCTCTGCTTGTGAGGGTCACTCCGACTGGTGCTCAGGGACAATGTACTGGCATCAAACCAGGGTCAGTTGCACAGCAGACAAGACCCTCACCACTGTACTGTCTCTCCAGGCCCCACTGTGACTTATTTTGACTTGCACTTGATGAAATTGTTTGGACTCCAGAATGTTTATTCTAGGAAAACCATAATAGCTAAATATGGAAAATTGCTTCAGAAAACTAAAAAAAGCTGCTCTGTATTCACTTAAAATTTCTTAATTTCAGATTTGGGATGGTTGCACTGAATTTTTTACTGTCATGTTAAAATATGCAAACGAAAATTTGAAACTTTTATAATTGACATCACTTTTCCTTTAGTAGTTTTCTCTCTTCTGGGATGTAAGGTAAAATCAATAAAATGTATTGTTTAATTCAAAGACTTAACAGGAGCAAATGCTTTGTTTTTAGGAAAGAACTGGAAAAGTTACGGCAAGATTTGGAAGAAGAGAAAGCAATGAGAAGTAATCTAGAGGTAATAAATTTTTTCTCAGCATCAGGATTTTAGTCAGCGTAAAAGAGATATGTTTTTTCCCAGCCCAACAAAGTATGCTGTCTGCTTTTGTTGGGCACTCCCTGATTCTTGGAAGCCACTTAATTAATCTCTTATTAACTCCCTGTCACATTCCGTTCATTCATTAGGCCCATTCATTCATTAGGCAAAAGTTTTTTTGTTATTTTTTTTAATTAATGAAACACCATGAGGTACAGTTGTAGACTTACAATTTTTTTGTGCTTGGGTTTCAGTTATACAATTATCGAGTACCCATCTCTCCACCAGTGCCCATTCTCCACCACCACGGATCCCAGTATCCCTCCCACCCTCCATCCTCCCCTCCCCCCTTCGTCCCACCCTGCCTCTGTTTTGTTTTCTCTCTCCTTTTGGGTGCTGTGGTTTGCAAAAGAGGCAAGGAGTGGCAATCATTTTCGGTCTATAGTTTACTTTCAGCATGCATCTCTCATCCTGGGAGGATCCTCCTAACACCCTTTATTTGGTATTTCCTTCTCTATCTGAACTACCTTTCCCCGAAGCATGTGCAACTGGCCTACAAGCCCTGGAGTGAACCTCCTGGTACTTATCTCGGCTATTCTCATGTGTTAGTCTCCTATTTTGTTACTTTATGTTCCCCAGGTGAATGCAATCTTTCTATGTCTGTCCCTCTCTTTCTGACTCATTTCACTTAGCATGATACTTTCCATGTAGTACCACTTGTATGTAAATTTCATGACTTTATCTTTTCTAACAGCTGCATAGTACTCCATTGTGTAGATGTACCAATGTTTCTTTAACCAGTCATCTGTTCTCGGGCACTCAGGTTTTTTCCAGATTTTAGTTATTGTGAATAGTGCAGCAATGAACATAGAAGTGTAAATGTCATTTTGACTGTACTTTTTTGCCTCTTTGGGATATATTCCCATGAGTGGTATAGCTGGGTCAAATGAGAGCTTAATTTCTAATTTTTTGAGAATCGTCCAACTGATTAGTGACATAGAGCATTTTCTCATGTGTGTTTTAGCCATTCAGATTTCTTCTTTGGAAAAGTTTCTGTTCATTTCATCGCCCCATTTTTTGATGGGGTTAGATGTTTTCTTCTTGTAGAGTTCAACCAGTGCTTTGTATATCCTTGATATTAACCCCTTATCAGATGGGTATTGGGTAAATATCTTTTCCCATTCTGTAGATTGTTTTTGTATTCTGGTCACTGTATCTTTTGAGGTGCAGGAGCTTCTTAATTTAAGATAGTCCCATTTGTTTATCTCTGTTTCCACTTGGTTGGTCAGTGGAGTGTCATCTTTGAAGATACTGTTAACCTCAGTATCGTGGAGGGTTTTGCTGACCTTGTCTTCAGTGTACCTTATGGATTTTGGCCTGATGTTGAGATCTTTGATCCATTTTGATCTGACTTTTGTGCATGGTGTTAAGTCAAGGTCTAATCCCATTTTTTTGCATGTTGTTGTCCAGTTATGCCAGCTCCATTTGTTAAAGAGGCTTTCCTGCTCTACTTCACACTTCTTGCTCCCTTATCAAAGGTTAGATGTTCATACATTTGGGGTTGTGTGTACGAATATTCCACCCTGTTCTATTGATCTGTGACCCTGCCTTTGTTCCAATACCATGCTGTTTTAATTATTAACGCTTTGTAGTAGAGTTTGAGGTTGGGGAAGGTAATGCCTCCCCACATCTTTTTCCCAAGAATTGTTTTAGCATTTGTTGTTCCATATGAATTTCAGGAGTGCTTGATCTATTTCTTTGAAAATGTCATGAGTATCCTTATATGGATCGCATTGAATTATTATTATGCTTTCGGGAGTATTGCCCTTTTGACGATGTTAATTCTTCCTATCTATGAGCAGGGGATATGTTTCCATTTCCTCATGTCCTCTTTTATTTCATGGAGTAGCGTTTTGTAGTTTTCATTGTAGAGGTCTTTTACCTCATTAGTTAGGCTGATTCCGGGGTATTTGATTTTCTGGGGCACAATTGTGAACAGGATCTTTTTTTTCATGTCACTTTCCTCTCTCTCATTATTTGAGTATAGGTAGGCCATGGATTTTTGGGCATTGATTTTATTGCCTGCGACTTTACTGTACAAGGCTGTTGTTTCTAGAAGTTTGTTGGTAGAGGATTTAGGATTCTCAAGATATAGTATCATATCATCTGTGAATAGTGAGAGCTTCATTTCTTCCTTTCCTATCTGGATGCCTTTAATGTCTTTTTCCTGCCTAATTGCCCTTGCAAGTACTTCCAGTACTATGTTAAACAGAAGTGGTGATAATGGGCGTCCTTGTCTTGTCCTTGATCTTAGAGGTAGGCCCTTAGTTTTCCCCCCATTGAGGATAATGCTTGCCATGGATTTGTCGTAGATGGCTTTGGCTATATGGAGGAAAGTTCCTTCAAAACCCATTTTGGTGAGAGTTTTCATCATAAATGGGTGCTGTATCTTGTCAAAAGCTTTCTCTGCGTCTATTGATATGATCATATGGTTTTTATCTTTACTTTTGTTGATATGATGTATTATGTTGATTGATTTCTGAATGTTAAACCATCGTTGAATCCCTGGGAATCCCACTCGGTCGTGGTGTATGATCTTTTTGATGAGTTTTGGATTCTATTTGCTAATATTTTGTTGAGGATCTTCGTATCTGTGTTCTTCAGGGATATTGGGCTATGGTTTTCTTTGTGAGTCTTGCTAGTGGTTTATCAATGTTATTTTCTCAAAGAACCAGCTCTTGGTTTCATTGACCTTTCAGATTGATTTTTTTTTTGTTTGTTTTTTTCCATGTTGTTAATTTCTGCTTTAAGTTTTTCTTTCGGCCAATTTTGGTTTCTTTTTGTTGGTCTTTTTCTAAGATCTTAAGCTGTGTGGTTAGGTTATCTATGTAGGCCCTTTCTTCTTTCCTTAGGAATGCTTGCAACACTATAAATTTTCCTCAGCACGGCTTTAGCTGCGTCCCATAGGTTCTGGTAGATCGTGTCTTCATTTTCATTTGTTTCCAGGTATCTTTTGATTTCGTCCTTGACTTCCTCCCTGACCCAATCGTTGTTCAACATTGAGTTGTTTAATTTCCAGGTGTTTGATTTGGTTCTCGATGTCGTTGTGTGATTTGCTTCTATCTTGAGTGCATCATGGCCTGGTAAGATTGTTGATACTACTTCTATCTTCCTGATTCTATTGAGGTATGTTTTTTGGCCTAGCACGTGGTCTAATTTGGAAAATGTTCCGTGTGCACTGGAGAAGAATGTGTATTCTTTCTTTTCCAGGTGTAAAGCCCTGTATTGGTATATTAGCCCTCTCTCTTCTATTTCTTCCTTCAAAGCCAGTGGTTCCTTGTTGAGTTTTGTTATTGTTGACCTATCCAGAGGTGATAAGGCGATGTTGAAGTCTCCAACTACTTCTGTGTTGCTAGCAATGTCCTCCTTAAAATCTGTAAGCAATTGTTTTAAGTATTTAGCTATTCCTTCATTAGGTGCGTATACATTTAAGAATGTGATTTCTTCCTGTTGTACGTGTCCCTTGATAAATAGAAAATGGCCTTCGCTGCCCCTTCTAATCTTTTTCAACCTGAAATGTATGTTGTGGAATACTAGTATGGCCACCCCAGCTATTTTGAGGGAGCTGTTTGCTTGCAGAATTGTTTTCCTTCCTTTAACTTTGAGTCTGTGTTTGCTCTGGTTGTTCAGATGTGTTTCTTGTAGACAGCAGAATGTTGGTTTCAGTTTCTGGACCCATTTTGCCACTCTGTGTCTCTTGATTGGTGCATTTAGTCCATTGACATTGAGAGAGATTATTGTCGTGGGGTTTTGTGCCATCTTTCTGTAGGGGTTGTGTTTGTAAGTGTTTTCCTTTGTATCTTACAGAAGTCCTTTTTATCCTTCTTTTAGATTTGGTTTTGAGTCTATGAAGTTCCTGAGCTCTTGTTTATCTACAAAATGGTGTATAGTTCCATCGAGTTTGAGTGAGAGTTTAGCTGGATAAAGTATTCTTAGTGAGGCGTTCAGTTCATTGAGTTTTTTCACTATATCCCACCATTGTCTTTGGGCTTGGAGAATTTCCTCTGATAGGTCTGCTGTAAATCTAAGGGGTGCTCCTTTGTATGTGATTTCCTTCTTTCACCTTGCTGCTTGTAGTATTGTGTCTGTGTCCACAGCATCCCTCGTTCTATGATATATCTTGGAGTGTTTTTATTAGGGTCTCTTCTAAAAGTCTGGTATCCTTCTGGCTCCTTGGATCTGTATATCTGCAGTCTTTAACTCTGGGAACTTTTCATCAATGATTTCTTTGACTGTGGCTTTTTTGTTGGGATTGCCTCCCTGTCCATCTGGCACTCCGATGATTCTAATGTTGTTCCTCTTGGCATCATCCCCTAGGTCTCCGATTCTTCTTAGAGCTATTTTGAGGTCTTTTCCCATTGTTGTTCCCTATGCGATTTCTGTTGCTCATCTTCAAGCTCACTGATCCTGTCTTCAGCTGTATTCATCCTACTGGTGAGGGCACCTACTGAGTTTTTAATTTCGTCTACCGAATCCTTTATTTGTGAGACTTCTTTTCGTTGCTTTTTTAATTTCTGCTCTCATTTCTTCCTGTATTTTCTTGACTATCCGTTCTATTGCTTCTTTTATTTCATCCTTTAGTTTTCTGGATATCTCCTTTATTGATTCTTTGAGTAGTTCCTTGACCATCATCTGCATTTCATCTCGGAATTCTTTATTGGAGAGAGCATATTTGTGGATAACCCAGGTTGAGGATTCAGGGCTCTTTTCTTCGTCCTCTCCTTGTAGTGGAGATGTGTGCTGTTTCTTCATGTTGTTTTGGTTGTCTAGTGGAAAAACCCTGAAATTCACTAGCATTGTTCCCTCTTATTGTGGGAAAGGATTCTGGATAATGGTCGATGGTGGTCATCCGTCTCCCTTTCTAGAGTCTGACCTTTCTCTCAGGCATTATTCTTTGGCTTATAATGGGCATCTAGTGAAGCTTTGGAGGGGGTATTCTTTTAATATTGGGCTTGTACAGCTACTTGCAAACTGGTCTTTTGTTAGAATTGGAGTAGGCCAGTGGATAATTGTTGTAGTTGAGGTTGCCAGGAATTTTCCCACAGAATTAGGTGATAAGGGCTGGGATGAAAGTCAAGAGTGGTGGGAGTAGCAAATGTAACTGCGCCCTCCTGCATGTCCAGATGCTAGTCCACAGACCTGTTGGGGACTAGTTGGTCTGGTGCTCGCTGCGGAAGTGGAGGCAGGTGCCCCAGGCCGGGGTCCCAGCAGCAGCTGACTTTCTGGGTCCCAAGTTTGGGTGGGGGGTGCCAAGCGGGAACAGACCTGCTGGGGAGGGGCAGCGACTCAGCAAAAGTTTTTTGAGCACTCACTCTTTCAGGTAGTGCGTGAGGTACAAAGAATTTATTCATGAGTAAAATAAACATGGTTTATTTAGTGTCTGATTTTATGTCTTTGGTACTCAACTTTGCTTCTTCCTGGAGCTGTAACTTTCTTCACTGTTAGTCTTTTGCCCAGTGGTTTTGACCATTGCTGCTATGCTGTTGGTGGCAGTAATGGACTGAATATGAATTTGGCTTTAGTTTCTCACCAAATTTCATCATCTTCACTCTGGATAGTTCCACATAATTTATCTTCCTTAGCTTTTTCTATGGGCTGGAGTGACAGCACAGTGTAGGGCGTTTGCCCAGCTCAGCCGAGCTGGGTTCGATTCCTCCGCCCCTCTTGGAAAGCCCAGCAAGCTATCGAGAGGATCTCGCCCGCGTGGCAGAGCCTGGCAAGCTCCCCGTGACGTATCTGATAGGCCAAAAACAGTAACAGGAAGTCTCAAAATGGAGACGTTACTGGTGCCCGCTCGAGCAAATCAATGAACAAAGGGAGGACAGTGCTACGGTGCAGTGCTTTTTTTTTTTTAATGTGTTGCATTTTAGCTTTGTGGCTTGCTGCTCCAGGTGTTCTCACTGTCCATAGCATTTCACATGTTTACCATTTTCGTGTTTCTGTTGGTTTGCCTTGGTTTATGTGAAATCCTAGGTTCTTTCGTCTCTAGCTTCTGTTTCTTTCACCTTCCATATAATCTGAGAAATGCTTTTCACTGCAATCCTTTGTCCTCTATCTTTTTGCTTATCTGTGTCTGTGAATAATATGGCTTGGTCGACTGCATCTTGCATATAAAACTTAATCTTTTTTTCTCAGCTAGTATATTTCCAGTTTTCCTCTTTCTAGATGTCATTCCACTTGTGCCATGGTATATTTGTCGTTTTCTTTTCCTGTTCTTTTTGATTTTCTTTCTGTTACTGATTTCTGTTGTCCTTTTAGACTTGCAAACATGGTACTTCTGTTCTCATTTCATTCTGTTTACTTTCAAAGTGTCCTAACTTTATTCTCACGATTTGGATCTTTTTCTAATGTTCATTGTCTTCTCTTTAGATTACATAAGTTTCTTTCATATTACAGATATTTCTTTCTCAGTGTTTCTAAGTACTATTATTATTAACTGAATGAAATTTCAAACTTACTACGTGGCACGTTAAGTCTTTTGTATCCTGGTCTTAGTGTATTTTTCTTTCTTCACTTGCTTATCCTCGGTTGCACTTTACAATTAATTTGTCTGAATTTCTACTTTGTACTTTCTGAGATTGCCATTTTTGCCTCATTTTCTTACCCTCAAGCTCTCCAACTATCTTCTTAAACAACCACCAGTACATCATTAAGTTAATACCAGTTCCTCTGACCAAAGGTAATGTTTTCTTGTTCCAAAGTATTAGTTTTGGAGGAGATGAGTAACTTTGTTTACTATCATTCCTCTCTTATGTTATTGATTATTTTGCCTCTCTTTTGGACCAGTACTTCCCAACCAGCATAGTAACCCCCCTGGGAGAGTTCACGGGGATGTCAGATGAAAATTGCATCATCAGAAGGGAAGGAGGCAGGGGTTCATGACAGCATGGAAACGAGGGGGGCAAACTGGAGGACCAGGTTCGGGATTAATAGAAAGGGAACAGAGTCAGAAGGGGGAGCAGAGACTGAAGGCACAGTTGGCAAAAGGTTGGGGAGAAATTTTAAATGAGGACTTGGGTGGGTGATTTTTATTATATATGCTTCATCTTTGCTTATAATTTTCAATAGGTGATATGTTTGTTGAATTAATAAATGTTACATGATACATACATGTATGTAGAAGAAATTAAGAAATTTTTTTAAATGTTTCTTAGGACTGGATAGTATAACTCATGTCTCTCACAGTGCTTTGGGTGTGGTCTAATCCCTGATTCCATAAAAAATAAGGCCAACATAACAACTCCTAACTCCTTCCTCTACTTCACCATTTGTAAATCCTTAAAAACGGTTTTAACCTTACATTTTATATATATATATGTGTGTGTGTATATATATATATGTATATGTGTGTATATGTGTGTATATATATATATATATATATATATGCATTTCGTATGTGAGAATCAGTTAAGGTATGTAAAAGAAGAAGCAGTGCAGTGTTAGATTTGTCATGAAGGGCCCGAGAGAAAGATCCTGGGTGGAATGCACATTTTGCAGGGTTGAATCCCTAGCACCTACGATTCCCTGAGCACTGCTGGGAGCACTGCTAGGTATGCCCCCCAAACAAAAGTTGTCATGAAAATTTTGAGGCTAATAAAACAAGTATTTGTTTCATTTTTGGAGAAATTTTTTGAATTGAGTTTGTTTTTTATTTGTTTGTTATTCTGGGGCTACACCAGGCTGCGTTCAGGACTAATTCTTAGTTCTGAATTCAGGGATCACTCCTAGTGAGATCTGGGGCCTGGTGGATTACCAGAGATCGAACTTGGGTCAGCAGCATGCAAGACAAGCACCTCAACCACTGTACTGTCTCTCCAGCCCCTTGATTCCACTTTTTCGGTGGGTGGGAGAGTGAGTGGTGTGGTTGGTCCACACCTGGCATTGCTCAGTGCATACTCCAGGCTCTGCACTCTTGGATCACTCCTAGGGCACAGGGGACTATTTGGGGTGCTGGGATCGAACTCGGGCCAGCTTGTGTACAAGGTAAATAAGCTACCTGCTATGGCTCCAACCCCTTGATTCATTTTTTATCAGCAAAATTAGCAATGGAGACATTACTGGGCCTGCTCAAGCAAATTGATGAACAACGGGAGAACAGTGTCGTGCAGTGCTATTAAAAATTTATTTGTTACTGAATTTAATTTTTGTGTTTTAGGTGGAAATTGAGAAGCTGAAGAAAACAGTTCTTCCTTCTTGAAGTGATATGAGCCCAGTGTTCTTAATGATCGAGGGACTTCCAGAGGAACACTATGAACTTCAACTGACTTAATACTTAAAAATAACAAATACTGATGTTATAATAAATATGAATATATGAACTATGATATCTATAGAAAAGTGGGGGAGGGTGGATTTTTTAAAATATATATATATATTGTTTTGCCAATATGAAAAACAGAGGCCTTACTTCTTATGTGCTGGGATTGCAATTTTTTTGTTTGTTTTAGTTTGCTTGGAAATACTACTGAGTGTATAAAAAGGAAAGTTCACAATATTTTTTTTATTGAAACTTGTAGTATTATTTTTAAAGAGATCTGTGCTATAAATATGGTGATATCTTTACAAATAATCTGTAAAATGTACTATTTGAGAGGACAAAGATAGCTTTATAGTAAGTAGAGTCACTACTTTCTCCCGTAATACATACAGAATATAAACTTTGTGTGTATATGTACACACACACACACATATATGCGTACATATATATATTTTTACTTTTAGCTTCTTACCCAGGATTACACTGTTGTGCCTGTTTGTTTGTAGTGCTGTTTATACTGTGGGTGATGGAATAGGAGATTCCTAGCTATAAACCAGATTACACAGCCATGTATATCTAATTAAATTAAAAAATAATTTCAACTTTAAAAGTATTTTATATTGCTTGCACTATAGGATTCGTAAAAGGAATTTAGTTAAAATGGATTTGTAAAATACTTTTGGGAAAATATGAATTTAAAATACTTTAAATTCATCAGGTCCTAGAAACTAAAAATTTCAAATACTTAACCCTTAACTTAACTTGTGCCTGAAGGTACAGCACATCGGATATGCAAACACCAGCCTTATTGCTGTACTTTCCTGCTTATCTTACAGGTTTTAAGTATTACTCATTTTACGATCTTAGGATTTAGTTCTTCACGCCCCTTCCTCTGGTTTTTGTTTTAATGGCATTTGGAAAGCTAAGCTCAAATTTAAAAAAACTTCATTTTGAGTTTTCATACTTTGATCAAGGTAAGGAACTCAGGTTTTCCATTCTGGAGATCTTTGGACTGTCACTCAGGTACCACATTTATAAAGAGTTTCTTTCAAGCTAGATGTAGTAGACCATGTTAAAAATGCATTATCACAAAATGGATAAACTAACAGTTTTTTTTTCTCATTATTTAGGAACAGTTAGATATTTTTAAACGCCCTAGCTGTAGATAACATGTCTAAAATGTGGATTCTATTAAACAGTGAAAAATTTTACTTCAATATGAAAGAAATTACGGTTGAAGCTTTATCATAGCAGATGACTTTCACTTTTTGAATACCAACTCTTCCTTCATTTTATTTTCCTCACAGAATCAAAATTTTCCCTTTAAGTTTAAATCTTAGAGTACTGAATTCGGCTGTCGATGAATTTTTCTCATGTTTCAAATAAAAGTACTGAAGGAGAAGCTAACAGAATTCTAATAAAATTTGTATGCTCAATTTTCACACTTAAGCATTTTGTGGGAAGCCTGGTTGTGCATTTAGTATGTAAAGTGTGACTCTTTAAATTGTTTGCGTTCTTGGGCTAGAGACATAGCTTAGAGTAGAGCATCTGCCTTGAATTTGGAGAACCTTGGGGTCTGTCATGGTTACTGACAAAAAGACAAAAACAAAAATTTACCTCCTTGATCTCTTATGATAGTTAGGTCACTGTTGAACCAAATCTTTTCCTCCTGTTTTTTTTTTCTTCCTTTTTTTTTAAGGTGTTGTGGGTTATACCCCGGTGCCTCACAGACGCTTGCAAAATTTCTCTGCCACTGAGTTATATCCCTGACCCTCTAATGTTTGTAAAGGACTTTAAAAAAATTATATTTTATTTTCTTTGAATGAAGCTCCTTAGGTAGAAATTCAACAGTGTATTTAAAAAAAAACCAACCATCCTTGAGGGAGCCCTGCTAATAAATGGTTGGGGGGTAGGGGCATGGCGGATTCCAGTAGATTTTAGGTTCTTCTGAACCTGAAAGTTCTGCCATATTTTCTCACGCATAAAACCAAAGATAGTCACGAGTGCCCAAACACATTCAGTGTATTTGTAAATCCCTTAAGCTAGAAAGGTAATTGAAGTACTGTATATTTTTTGCCTTTGACCAAATAGTAAAGAAAACCAAACTCATGTAAGGGGGAAAGTGATTACTTAATCTAGCAGTTTAACAGTATTTGCTCTTGATAGGGGAAATTTAATGTCAGAGTCATAAAATTCTTATCTCAGAATGGTGTGTAATAACAATAATATTCTTTGTTTGGGTGTAAATCATTGATTCTTTTCTTGTGAGGGAGCATAAATGACAGACTAGCGGTGACGAGCAAGAAGTCTGCCATTGCCAAACTATTAGTGAATGTATTGTTCAAATTCGCCTTTTGTTTGAAACCAACATTCCTGATTTTTTTGTTTTATTTCGGTATTAGGAGTATTTGTCTGTGGGTTCATCTGTTCATTTTTCTGACCACTAAGACTAAAGCTGTTACCTCTTTATACAAGTTAAGACAGGAAGAGAATGGTATAAGATTCTCTCTCTTTTTTTTAATGCTTCTTACTGTGATCTGAGAAACGTACTCAAGTGCTCTTTAGATTTGTTGATAAACATTTATATGCTTGCATTTGAATTTGAAATGTATGAACAGAATGACAATCAGTTAAAATCAGAAATGAGAAGTGTTAAAGTGTGAAGGCCTTGTTTTCCTGTAGCAATAAAGTGACCAAGTGCAATGACTTGATTGAATAAAATCATCTTTCAAAAGTTGCTGCTATAAATATTTTTAATCATAAAATTTTACCCATTTTAGCCTGATTCGCCTTCAGTAACTATCATGTAATGCAGCTGGTGTTCCAACACTCCATAGAATAATAATTATAGTGATAAGCAGATATGGGGAAACTGAAAAATCTTGACCATCACACACTTGTTTACAGGTGCTGTTAAAAAGCATGCATCTTCGTCAGCATTAATAATAAAGAATAGCATTGCCAGAAGTGTCACTATTGGTTATTTTGGGCATATTAAATTCACTTGCTGCAGAGTTTGGTGAAAATTAAATTGCTTTGACTTTTTCAAATGAAAGAAACATGACCGCAACCACATTTGAATCCTGACACCGCATATGGTCCCCCCGTTTCTGAGTACCACTAAGCATGTACACATCCCCCTGGCCCCCCCTCAAAAAAAAATTCTTCACCCTAATGCATTATATGAGCTGAGAACAAATTAAACCATGCTGGTCAAGCAGGGACTGGTGGGGACATTTCCTAAGGGGGAGTGGGAATGCAATGAGTTTGGTTTGTGCATACACAGTTCTACCCACTACTTCTACTATGGGGCCAGTGCTATGCTGAGTCACTATACTCTCGTACATAGATTTGCTCGAGCGGGCCCAGTAATGTCTCCATTGTGAGACTTTGTTGTTACTGTGTTTGGCATATCGAATACATCACGGGTGGCTTGCCAGGCTCTGCCATGCGGGCGAGATACTCTGGGTAGCTTACCGGGCTCTCCGAAAGGGGAGGAGGAATCCGGGTCGGCCATGTTGGCTGCGTGCAAGGCAAACGCCCTACTGCTGTGCTATCGCTCCAGCCCACCCACTAGCTTTCACAAATAAGTTTGACTGTTTACTGGGGAAGGCGGTGGGGAACACCAAAATAAAAAACAAACTTAAGTCAGGATTATTGTGGAAGTAGTTTCAACCTTGTGGATCATACTTCAAGACAGATTACCTAAAATAACCATGTATGGTCCCTAGCTTGATTGGACAATAGTTGTTTAGCGGATCAATCAGTAAAACACATGTCAAAAGATGTGATCTCTTTTTTCTTTACTCATTTTTATTTTCTGCCTTTTTAAGGATTTATGTTGATAGGACTAAATTATTTCCTAACAGCTGTTAGAATCATGCTTCTAAGAGTTCTGCGTTAAATTCAAAATGCCTTTATTTTTCTTTTATTCATTTATAGCAATATTTTTTTAACAATTTTTTGTGCTTGGGTTTCAATTATACAATGATCAAATACCCATCCCTCCACCAGTGCCCATTTTCCACCACCATGGATAATATCCCCCCCACCCCCATCCCCTCCATCCCCCCCTGCCTCTGTGGCAGGGCAATCCCTTGTGCTCTCTCTCTCCTTTGGGGTGTTGTGGTCTGCAAAAGACGCATTGAGTGGCAAACATGTTCAGTCCATAGTCTACTTTCAACATCTCCCCTCCCCTCCTGGGAGGATCCTCCAAACACCCTTTATTTGGTACTCCCTTCTCTATCTGAGCTGCCCTTTCCCCTAGAATGCCCGGCTGGCCTCTAAGCTATGGAGTAATCCTCCTGGTGCTGATCTCAGAATAATAGCAATGTTTTGCCTCAGAGTGCTAGTATCCACATTCTGCTGAATGAAAGGTGCTGTTCCTGTTGGCTTTTTTTTTTTCCCTTTTGGGCCACACCCGGCGATGCCCAGGTTCCTCCTGGCTCTGCACTCAGGAATTAGGCCTGGTAGTGCTCAGGAGACCATGTGGGATGCCGGGGATCGAACCCTTGTCTGCTGTGTGCAAAGCAAGCAAACTACCCACTGTCGCTCCAGCCCTCACTGTTGGCTTTTTAAAATTCCTTTACCATGTTTATTAGTTTTCCAAATAAGAGAGAGGTAATTCTGTATCTGTCTCTCTCTGGCAGACTGACTTCACTCAGCGTAGCCTCCAGTTCTTTCCATATAGCAGTTAATTGCAGGGGTTTTTTTTTTGTCATAATGGAGGTGCTTATCTTTTACTCCTGGCTCTGTGCTCAAGGATTAATCCTGGGAGCTCGGGAACCACCTGGGGTGCCAGAGGTCAGCCATGTCCAAGGCAGACACCCTTTCTGCTATTCTGTCTCTCCAGCTCTGGATTTCACTTTTTCTTCGTAGCTGAAGAAAAAGCCCTCTTTCACTTTTTCTTCTTTATCCACTGTCTCTTGAAAACTTGGGTTTGTTTCTAGACCTTGGCTTCTGTGAAGAGTTCTGCTAACATACTGAGGAACACAAACATTCTTTCAAAAAATACTATCTTAAAGGGGATTAGGTGTGTGTGTTGGGGAGGGGGGTATTTTTTCCACACCTGTTGTTGCTTGAGCTGTCCTGGGACACTTATGGTGATGGTGGAACCAAGCCCTGAGCCTTACATGCAGACCACGTGCTCCAGTTCATTGACACTGGTGATAATTAGAGGAAACAGGAGTGAGAAGAAAGGGTCATTTGATGGTGGAGGTTGTATCGGAACTTTGGTGGTGCAATGGAGATAACCCTTGAAATTACAGAGTATCGTGATAAACCAGTGAAAACAGTATTTAAACTAAATTAGAAAAGATAGGCATCTGTCAGTGACTGGTACTGTTTCAAGTAATCTAGTTAAGCTAGATGGATGTGTCTCAATTTGATGTGACAAATCTGTCATCTTTCACGTGAGAAAATAGGCTCAGAGAGGTTGTGTAATTGGGCTAAGGCCACTCAGTTAACAGGAATGGAGCTGGACAAGACTCCTGATGGCTGGATATTGAAGACCACGTGCCTTGTTTCTTCTGTTGTTTTCAGAGCCTCCCCTCATGCTGCTGGGGCTGCTCTTAGCTCGGGGTTCGTGGCAGTGCTGGTGCTCAAACCCAGGCCGCCTTCAGGCAGAGCTTGTGCTCAGCTTTGGAACTGTCTCCAGCCCAGTGCCTGTGCTCTTAAGTCTTACACTACCTTTATATAACTTCCAACAGTCGGATCGTGTTGTAGTTATATAAAGATAGTATGATCTTGGTCCATTGTAATTTTCTGTTACCTCTGAGTGTCAGATTTTACATCCACAAGGGAGTCTAAATAGTAAAATCCATGTCCAGTAGTCCCAATGTGTTTATATTTCTCTATGACATGGTCACAGGTAAGATTTTAAGGAGCGTTCTTTACTTAAGGTGGTTTTCTATCTTTGTAAACATTTTGAGCAGAGATAAAAAGGACTAACTCGCTTAGCTTTCTGAATGATACTCAGTGACCACCAGATGGCAGTCAAAACTCAGTTCCTGGCACCTTGTAGCAGCATGAAATTATTAGAGGGCACCAATTCCTGAAATCCCCCAGAACAGAAACAAACATTGTACTTCCCTCATCAGGCTACTGATACGATTTTAAAAACTCAGCAATTGTGAATTTACCAAAACGTTCCTTGTTGATTCCTTACCTATAAAATCAAAGGACCCTCTTGCTATGCCATCAGAGAAAGGGGACTCTGAGCTGAATATACGCTTTTCCTGCTTTTCAACAACAAAACCATCTTGCGCTCCCCTTGGACTGATTGGGAGTTAACCCTTCCCCGCACCTGGCCTTTTTCCTTACCTTCCCTGGGTTTTTAGCCGCTGTCCTCCTGCTTTTTGGGACTGTGCCTTTTTCTATCAACCTTGTGAGAATGAATCCCACTATATGGTCAGAAACAAGGTCACCTTGTGTTGCAGGCTTTTTCAAAAGATTCTGGTAAGGAATCTCATTACGCCATTTGGATCTTCTCTCCAAGAATGCAGTGTGGTCCACACAGTTGAAACCTGTTGTTAAACTCAGGGCAGGGGAATTCTTGGTATTCTGTGTGTACCGGCTTTTTATCTGACCAAGTCTGAAAAAGTACAACCATTTTCAGCTCAAATTCTTTTTTTTTTTTCTTTTTGGGTCACACCTGAAGATGCACAGACGTTACTCCTGGCTCTGCATTCAGGAATTACCCCTGGCGGTGCTCAGGGGACCATATAGGATGCTGGGGATCAAACCCGGGTTGGGCACGTGCAAGGCAAATGCCCTACCTGCTGAGCTATTGTTCCAGCACCCACAGCTCAAATTCTTACGAGATTCACTTTTCTCTCCCTCTGAGGTATAAAATGTCTTGTGCGATGGGGCTATGCAGTCGCAGGTGCAGTGAATGGTTGTGCACCAGAAGGTACATGACCCATTGGGAGATTTCTCAAGTGCAACACTAGGATGATACCCAGTACAGCTCTTTTCAGCAACCAGTGAAACATCCAGCTATCTGCTGTGTACTCCATGGAGAAGCGAGACCTTCAGTGGTTGTCAGTTGGTAAAAACTGGCCTAAAAACTTGGCCTGGCTCTTCTGATCAAGTGACCACCACAGATTATATTTTCTTATATTTATGAGCTATTTTCAAATAAGATCTATCACAGTTGGCAATGTGATAGAGTAAGGGACTTACTCTCAGGGCTGCTCAGGAGACCAGGGAGTGCTGGGGGGGTAGGGGTCAAACCGAGGGTTCCCATATGTTCTAGCCCCCTAGGCCTTGTGGTCATGATTCCTGGTAATAAATACTAAAGGCTCTCGACTATGGAGCCAGAGAGAGAGAGTACAGCAGGTAGGGTGCTTGCCATGCATGCGGGTGACCCAGGTTTAATCCCTGGCATCTCATGTGGTCCCCTGAGCACCTTCAGAAGTAATTCCTGAGCGTAGAGTCAGAAGTAACCCCTGAGCGTCACCGGGTGTGGCCCCCAAGACCAAAAAAGTTTTGGAATATGAGGAAAATGGCAAATGCAGGAGAGTATTCAATACACAAAGGGGCAATTCCATAAGCTCACCAAGATGGCCATGTTATGGTGGGGAGAGGGGGGGAAATGGAGAATATTTGTTTTAGTTCACTGCTATGTCTATAAAATAACAAATGCTTTAAAAAAATACATAGGCCTCACAGCCAGTAATGCTGCAACCCTGGGCACCATTCCA